TAACAGTATCCTGAGATAACAAGATTATCAACCTGTTATCACAGGGTAACAAAAGATCATAAAAGTTCAGGCATGCCACAGCAGCAAGCATAGATGCCGTATTATAAACGTAGCATATGTTCAACATAGTGGACAATTACATATAATGTAATATTCATTTTCATAATGACAAAAATGAGCCAGCATTTAGAGCCTAAATGATCTCTCAGATGTATATTCTGGTAACAACTCTTTTCAGTTCAGATATGAATCCTCCCTGATAGTCATGACAGTGATCTTGCAGTGACAGTGAAGGCTGAAATCAGATGTGATCGAATTAATCAGACACTCATTTTCAAGTTATCCATAATTATCCCATGATCTTGAGAAAACAAAAGTCATTTTCTCTTGATAAATAAATTGTTATCTCAAGAAATCTGCCTTCTGTTTTAACAATATTAAAAAACAATTACAAGCACGGTCGTTCTCTTCCCTACATCTGCATGTGTGTCCATCCTGGAAGAGGCGTCCCTCCGCTGTTGCTCTTCCTGAAGTTTCTGCTATGACTGTTCTCCTTAATCATATTTGTGATTTTGGGCTAAACAAATAAATTTGACTCAACTTAACTTCCTGACTCAGTTGCAAATGCATTACAGTGATACACCAAAGCACCTTTCATGCCAAACCTCAAACTAACCTGGGAAAAAGGACACATAGGAATCAGATACTTTTTTCTTTGGAGCTGTTTCAATTCTGATCACATAAAAGCTGTGTGTGGTGCGACCTCATAGTTTCTGAAACCAAAGGTTCTTTGGTCAATTACAAAGCAATCAATAATCCCAAATGAACCTTTGACAGTACACTGTTTAGATGAAGGTGCCATTGATGAGATTTTTGAAACTTCTTTCTGCACTGTTAGTTTTATAGATTACATTTTCTATGCAGCGAAAATGCTGTTCTAGTTAGTTTAAAAAAAAAAAAGACCAGTGATTCCTCAAATCTCATTACAAGTAGCTAGTTTGACATCTCCTCAATACTTACAAGAAGTAGATAACATAGTGGAGACACACAACTGTATATGAATATCAAATAATTGTGCCTGATCAATCAATAGGAACTGGATTGTGTTTTCTGTCATATGTTTTACAACCATGCATAGACCTCAGGAGACAAGAGACCCACAGATATAACTCTAAAGAGAGTTATATCCACAATCACACTTACAGTGTGATTGTGGCTCCTCCACCATGTTTAACAGACATTTAAGGTTAAATGTAATCTTTGGATTTCTCCAAATCTTATATAAGCTGGGTAGGAAAAATTAAAAGAGATGTGATCCTATTGCTCAGAATTCCAGCTTTACCTCTAGCGACATACTGATCCTGTGATGGGATGTGATCCTCATCCGTTGAGTTGTGTTTGTTTGGGCCCTGTGGACTGACTGAAGGAATCAGTCCTTGAATTTATAGTTTTCCTTCATCCAGCACTGAATTTTTCCATCTTGATTTCCTGGATGTCAGCAGCTGTGGTTTTGATCTCTCTTGCCTTCCTGCGTTCAGGTCTGTTGCCTTCGCAGACAAACCTCAGCCATCCCTAGAGGCTTAATTTGATGATGATAGGATGGATGCCAGGACGGAGGTGCTCTCCCAACCGGTGGCAGCCCTCAGGCTGGGATGAGCTTCTACCGACTGAATGACCACCATGGCTCCCTTTTTCACCCTAGGAGGCATGTATTAGACTTCCACTTACAGTTGCAACTGTACAGCCGTTGATTTCAACAGACAGGTGACTCACACTCTTAAGGAAAAATATTGGAAAGTTTGGGTGTGAATTCGAGAGAAACTGAGCTGCTCACTAAAGCTGTCTCAACTTCTCTAGAGAATAAGAAACATTTTAGTTCAGTCTGGTTTTTAAAGTTGTACACTTTTTACTTTTAACAATTGTTGTAAATTGTTGTTTTACAAACTTGATTTATGTTTATTATTTATATTGAATTATTTTCTTATTTTTCATATATGTTGTTTTTAATGAACTTTTGAGTGATGAGATATTTAACAAAAACACTGCAATATGGTTGTATATGTTGTGTGCTCATTTAAAGAGTCATGGCATCAAATCATTCTATGTTGGATATCTGATAGTATGATTTTATTTGCTGCAAACACAAGCTTTACATACCACACGCTGCATCAGGACACTTTTTAGAATAATTTCCATCAACATGTCTTTTTAGAGCAGCAAATATCGCTGCCTTCGGTATAGAATTACCGGATGTCAGTGCTACTATTCTCAGTGTGGTTCCATATTTTTAAAGACTGTGTGAAAATGATTAAAGCCACAGAATCTGAGCCATCACACATCCACCATGTAGTGAGGGATCTGAGAGAGAACAAAGCCTGTTATTCCGTTTTAAGAAGTTTGCTTGTCTGAGTGCAGAGCCAGCAGGAGTCTCAGGTGCAGCAGAGAGAGACAATCCCTTCACATTTAGAGGGGAATAGACCTGTCAGTCCTATAAACCCTTGAAGAACCAACCAGTGGAACCACATGCAGCTCTTTCAGCACACATCACTGTTATCTGGTGTGAACCAGGGTGGAAAGATATTAAGGCAGGGCATCACCATGCAAGATGCAGGCATTCTCAACGGGTGATGTCTGTTTGTGTTTACAGAGGGTTTGCTGTTTTCTTGTTGTGGATGCATCGCACTGATCATTCATCACATTTCAGTGATTCATACAGCTGGTTCTTGACAAAAGATGAGGGTGTGTGCTGCTTCATTTCTGGTTTAAATAAGTATGCTGCCTGTAGCACTCACTGAGCGCTTTCTCATTATCAGGAACAGGATGTTTTTTTTTCCATGAGCAAATTCAGATTTCCCCTGCAATCCATTGGCAGTTTTTTAAATAATATGTTATATATATATATATATATATATATATATATATATATATATATATATATAAGGCGGGTTATATCGTGCATAAATCCTTGGCCTTTACAAGCTAATATTTGATCAATCTACATTGATGAGTGAGTGAATAGGTACTTTTCTTTGAGTTTATGTTGTGGTCAACTTAGGATCAATAGCTAAGGTAATTTTGTACGCTGATAAGCTCCAGCTCAGTATTTTAAAGGAATAGTTTGAGGATTTGAGAAATACACTTATTTGCTTTCTTGCTGAGAGTTACATGAAAAGATAGCACTCTCGTGTCTGGATGGTAAATATGAAGCTCCAACCAGCAGCCTGTTAGCTTAGCTTAGCATAAAGATTGGATACAAGAGGAGACAGGCTGACTCCATCCACAGGTAACAAAATTCACCTACCAGCACATCTTAGGCTTGCTAATTAACACTTTATATTGCCTTTGTTTAAACTGTATAGTGCAGAAATGACAATTTGGGGTTTATAGAGTTACATGCTGGGCTACTTCTTTACTGGGACCAGTGACTTCCTGGAGTCTTGCTTGGACACCAGACTTAAGTCACTCTAATTGTAACACCTGTTTTATATTCACTTTATTAGTGAATAAGTGAGCTTTAGAGGTGCTGGTAGGTGTATTTTATTACCTATGTACAGAGCCAGGCTAACTGTTTCCTCCTGTCTCCATCAATGCTAAGCTACGCTAAGCGGCTGCAGGCTGTAGCTTCTTATTTAGTGTATATTTAGAGTTGTATTAATCATTCACATTAAACACTGACAAGAAAGCATATTTATTTAATTTCCAAAATGTTTAACTATTTAATCTTTATTGATATGGTTACCTTGTCTTTCATGGAGCTTTGCTTTGAAACCAAATCACAAATTTTATATTCCACATTTCACAAAATTCCTGTTTGGTTATTAACTGTTTATTGAATACCTGAAATATGCTTGCTACCAAATAGCCTGGGGCTTAGTTAAATTTTTTAAGAAATAGTACCCCAATTTCCATTTATCCCTCAGCATGCTATGGCAAATTTCTGACCTGAAACACAAAGCAAACTGGGACCTAAAATGAAAAATGACAGGGCTAAAGAGCCTCAACCTGTTTTTTGATCTACTAAACATGCAAACCTTATATTTGCCCAAATGTATTTTCTGTGTGTTAATATTTAACACACAGACTGGTAGAGTGCAGAAAAGGAAGATAATCACATTACAGTTTTGGAAACGGTCAACACACTCCTCTGTGACAGAGGCAGCAGTATGGTGGAGGCTTGCTTGTGTGTGTGCGTGTGTATATGTGTGTGTATGTGTGTGTGCATGTGCGCTGTTTTGTGAGAGCCCAAATGAGACTGGAGCAGACAGCTGGAGGGAGAGGATCGCTGCCTCATACAGCGTGTGTCTGTATCAGATGAGGAGAGGGGGTCACCCAGGATTCCCTTGAAGCTGCTCTCCAGGAAAAAAAAAAGAAGAAAAAAAGAAAAAAGAAATATTACAAGATTTTGTTTGTACCTCGATTACCGGATAGGATCAGCTCGTCACTGCTGCTGCTTTTTTAAAAATCTTGTATCATCGATTCGTGTTTTTTTTTTCTTCTTTTTTTTTTAGAAGATGCCGACACGGGAAAGAAAAGTGAGGCAGACTAATCCAGAAATAGACAGTTTGTAAGAAAAAGACGCGTTGTAGGAATCAGAAGAATCAAGAGCGAAAAGGTCGATTATTGATTTCTTATTGAATCATTTTTTCTTTTCTTTTCCATTTTATGTGCTGAAATGCTGGAGCTGTGCGTGGATAGCAGCTTGTTATCTCTTTGAAGATTCTTAACATGAGCCAATCAGTATCTGAACGGCCATTTAAGGCATTATACAGCGAATGCCTAAAACACTGAATAAAGTCAAATATAGTGAAAGTTTTATATTTTGTTTATTTTATGAAAAGGCACTGACAATTTGCTTAAGGTAGGCTTGCTGCAGGCTTTGCATTGAAACCAAAAGCGATGTACAAGCTGCGTTCTTGGTTAAACACGCAGCGGAGAGTGTGAGCTGATTCCACTCATATTTCAGCATTATCGAAAATACCCCCCCCCAAAAAAAAAAAAAAAATCACTTGCGGAGGGGTGGTTTCCCTCTTTCATTCGCTTGAGATTTTGATATCAAGGACAGTAGCGAAGGGTCTGTCTCAATAACTCGGGAGAGCTAGGCTATATGAAGATCGCGACACAGTTGTTGGTTTTCCCTCGCAGAAATGCCAGTGCGTGCTGTGACCACCAGGTTCATGTACAAGGGACTTTGCACTATTCCAGATGTCCTCTCCTACCGGACCCCTGTTAACCTGCCTGAGGATGAAGTGGAAGGTAAGTCTCTGGATCGTGGTTTTTAAGTTGTTATTGTAATGTGAAGAGTTGTTGCACCTAAACGCAACGTCCACCTGCAAACTAGTTCAGGACCCTGGAGAGCTCCAGCCGGTGTGCGCTTCTTTCCCTTGATCTACAAATGTGACTGCACACCAAACTGTAGGTCTGCTTGTAAAAAGGTTCAGTAGTACATATATTTTGTTTTATTTTCAGGGTTTAATGTCCCACAATATATGGGATACACCTGTCTTTTCTTTTTGCATATTGTTGCTTCAGATTTTGGGGGGAAAAAAGACACAAAATTATTATTCAGCTCTTATTTTTTGGTCCTTTGTACATCAATTCTGTCACATCATCCTTTAATAATTGCACTAAGTAATAACCATCATAGTTCTACACTATACACAATACGTCCCTAGTTTCCATACGTGTCAAGCAACTGCATACATAATGTATCACACAATTTCATACCTGCAGCACCTGTGAGACTAAACTGCACCTGATTCACTCACTGTAAGTCATTTGTCCTGGGGGCAAGAGACAAGACTGAAGAGTCAGTGAGACAAGGCTTAAAATGTAAAAAAAAAAAGGAGCCTGAGATGGAGAAATGGGCTGTGATGAATGGCAAATGTATAACTATAAAAATGTAGATTACAAGACCATTTCTAGAAAATCCATGGCAGATAAAACCCATTAATAAGGTGGGAGATTGATTCATTTTGAGTCTTAAATGACCTCCTCTCATGTCTTTGGGGTTTGTTTGATGTATTGCATTTTGTCTTTAATTAACAGAAACGACAGCCAGTGTTGTACTTTGGCCACCTAAAACATTCATTGGAGCATTATGATTGTTCTTATTATAGTAACCATAGTGCATAGCTGTTAAGAATGGAGGTTTTGTTTTGGCAAATGGTCTTCACAATGAGAAAGCGCAGCTGGCAGTGATTTGGAACAAAGCCAGGCAGACTACAATAAAGAGATAACTCAGATCAGATTTGATATCAGGAAGTCTTTTATGCAAAGGGAATTCCATTTCCCCTTCTGTCTGTAGGTTTGCCCGGGCCCCGCAAGTGGCTGCCTGCCCTTGCTTTGAGTCACTCATTTGACATTGAAAAAGCCACTATCTGCAATGACAACATAAATTTAATTAAAAGGTTGGCTATGGAAAAGCAACAATTGGAACAACAATAAAATGGCTGGGTGTTGTGCGTTGCAAAAAGGCTGTACAGACGATGATGATACAGCTTTTAAGATAATGAAGAAGTCTTATCAAACTGTAGTTTACTAATTGAGAGCCATTAAATATTCAGAACCTAGCGAGACAGATCATTGAAGCGTGAATGTATTTACCCAGGGAAGATTCACTGAGCACATAATGCACTGCTACATTTACATGGCCTCACACCTTGGCAGTGTCCATGGTAAACAGTGCTCTACCTTTTGTCGCTGAGCATCTCCACCACTAGATAGAAGTGTGTTAAAGAGCACTTTGCTTGTAGTTGTTGAGGGTGGTAAGAGAGTTTCAGATTAAACTCAACTGGACTGAGGGTTTGAATCAGTAACCTCCCACTTACTGCCTTACACCCAGCCTTTATTCTGCTTCTGCTCCACTTGAACACACAGTGCAGGAGCTGCTGTTGTTGGTCCGTGAACAGTGCTGCAGTCCAACGTCGGTGAATGAAAACTGAAAAGGTCTGAAATTCAGCCTATAAATATTGTTTGATCTTTAATTACCGCGGGGCAGAAGTTCCCTGATTGCTCGACTCATGTAATTACTCTCCCTAATCATATTTATGATAATAGCTTTTTCCTAGGAATATGTGTATATACACCCAATGTTTGGGATCATCTGAGGAATAGATTACAAACACACCACTGAACTGCAATATATTAAGCTTTGGGAGGTGACTATGCAATAGAAATAAGCACTGTAATGCTGTGTCTTCATTTGGATTTTGGAAAATCTCTAAAAATATGCTATAAAGACACAAATAAGAGCAGAATACCTTCATTATCATGCTCCTGCTATATAAGTTTTATATCAGAGCCAACAAAATTTAAAAACTAGATGAATAATTATCAGGCATTAAATCCAGATGACTGCAGTTCAGACAACAGATTTTATATACATTTATCATTATCCAGTCACTTTATGCTGTTGCTATTTACTGATTTCTATATGATACCTTTTATTTACTTCTACCTAAATTGTTCTCTATTACCAATGCCTTACAGAAACCAATATTATGGTTCAAATATAGCCTAACATCTATACTCCCTATCAGCATACTTACCTTAAAAAGAGATACTAATCAAGACATGTCATTTTGTTTTATAATTTTTGCAAGTCGAGACCATGAAGCTGTTTACAAAGTCAGCATAAACCTCAGTGAGTAAATCAACAGGAATTTCTCTTAGTGACATTGTTGCAGAGACATGCTGACAACCATTTTCAAGTGCCCACTGACAAACACAATACACAAGGACAAAAGGACCTTGCATCCAAGAGACCCACCGTGTCACACCATGGACAGTACATGACACATATTGCCCTTTATAAACAGATTAAAGAGTTCAGTTTCAGCGTGAGGTGGAATTGTAAAGGAAGACAAAAGTACCAGTGAACTAGTAGGAAAAAAAACACAGAATATAATGAGATACACAATATACATTTTTAATGCTGAATTCAATGGTAGGTAAGAGAAAACAAAGAAAAACATCATATTTTTGACCTCCCACCACATATTTTGAGCTCAGAAAAGATGATGTTACATATCAAATACAATGATATATATAATGGCACTGGTTAAATGCTGGAGTCAGTGCAGAAGTGCCTTGAGCTGCAATTTCTCAAATGGCCACTTGATGCTGTTTCAGACTGTATTCAACTAATTGAGTCAACTCTCAGTTTCTTTATTAAGGAATAAAGTTTTGAGCTTTTTCTATGCAAGACATCAGGGCCTCAATGGATGGCTTAATTTTCTATTATGTGGCATTTTTAAAATTAATCGTGTCATTTAAAAGTTAAAGAGCAAAGAAATGAGCTGGATGGAATACAATAAGAAGACAGTACTCATCATTTAAAAGGAGATTAATGACGCAGAATGATGTATTCTCACATTTAATGAGGATTTTCTTACTATATAACAAATACTGTTGGGATTAGCATTAGTCAACTATAATTATAACAAATAACTTTATGGATTATTATTCCAGTGGCACACTCAAGACTCCATAGAGATTATCTGTAAATCTATGCAATCCTGCAATTTCAAGACCTTTGTAATCTTTAATCTGATATTTTATTTGGATCACAATCATATCTGCAATATTAACCAAAGTGGAAATTGGCTACAGTATATAGAGAATACATTAGTAACAGTGAGGATTACAGGCACTTGCACAGAATGGAGAGACGATTGTTTGTACTGGCTGAGCTTTAGGGAGGCTGATTAAGTACTCACAGCTCTTAATGGATCTGCAGTTTCCAGGGAATGTTTTTCGAACAGATGGTTGCCTAGGTGGGCAGGGTCAGTGGCAATGCTTGCTGCCCTTTTCTTCGCCCTTGTGTCATGCACTTGTCATAAACCCTGATATGTATTCAAACCATTTCTACTGTGCAAGCAATTGTACTATTGCTTCTTATAAAATGACGTATATGCTTATACATATTTTAGATTTTTAGATCTCTAATCCAAAACCTAATTAGTTTGAGATGTAATTATTCAATCTTTTAAATGATTAACCTTGGACATTGCTAGGTAGTTTCTCTGTTGTGGCTCTCTCTCTGTGGAAGGAAAATCAATTCAATCAATTTTTTTTCATCACAAATTACATTTACACTTACGCTATTTAAGCTATTCAGAGCACTGACCAGTGGCATAACAGTAATCTCTATATCATTCATGTTCAACATATCCGTTTAACGTGTATGTCTGTATTTACCCTGTGTGACAGATGTTTTCTGTAAAAGTCTATGTGGACATTATGCTGTGCCAAAGTGTCTCCCTATTTAATGAGCGCAATATTAAAACCAAGGTCTAGAGCCAAGTTCAGCCCATTTATGCATGAGCGACTGGGATAACTGAATACATCTATAATACTTTGACTAAAATACATTAAAATGTCTCCATTACCTTCGATAAGTACACTGAAATTTAAACAAAGTAATGTTTAATCATGCACTATGTATTATACATACAGTATTTATGAGAAAAGAAGTGTTGAATGTTTCAGCCCATTAAACATATTAAACATATATGTGAGTGAGTAGACTCAGGCATTGTAAATTACCATGATAAGATATGTAGTTTCTTTTAAGACACTATACATAAACCCATTTTGTGACAAACACACTCCATAACTTACAGCAAACTGGCAGACACTTTAACTGCACGTGTGTTGAAACTGATAAGACTCTCGTTTTATAGCTGAACAATCATGACTTCCCCACAGTTACACTCTTGGAGGTCTCTCCGTGCTTGTATCACTCCTCGGTGCATCTCCGACAGAGGATGTGAACAGTATTTATAGATCACAGCCAGCAGGAGAATCCCCCAGACATCAGGCATTGTAGTGGAGTGTAGACCGTCTTCCACTTTGTATGCTAAGCCGTCTTCTTTTGTGCTTACAAATGGGGTGTTTTTTGCAGCAACATTGTAAACAGACAAGTATATGTATACTATGTGTGCTATTACAGCTGTCAGGGATCTATAACTATATAGATAAAATAAATAAATAAATAAATAAATTGTACATATATAGAGTAATATTTGTCAGGTCAGATTTACAGTGGTTGGAGATGCTCTTCATACTCCGTTATTCAATTGTTTTTTGGTTTTCAGATATTTTCACAGCAAACTAAGAACAAGGTTAAAAAACTACAGAAATGCTCCATCATCTTTACTGTTATTTAAATGTGGCTCCCTTTATGGTCAAAGACAAATGTCTGGTCATTAATGTTGTGGCCGCCCAGAGAGATTCACAGTTTCAAACAACAT